TCTGGTTCTGCTCCCATTTTGTCAGTCTGTGCTGTACTGGCTTTTACCTTCTCTGGGCCAGTTGTTTTACATTTATTACCCCTTCTTAGAAAAGGAACATAAAACTTGCCCTGAAACACCCAGAAAGGGTTCATTCTTTCTCTTTCCCTCTGTTATTTGCATTATCATGGTCAACAAATACTTTCACAAAAACATTCCAAGCTACACCAAGCCCTCCTCCTTCTTAGACATTCCTTCCATTTCCTGAGAGGGGGATGGGCACAGGAAGGGGGGGAGGTGACTGGAACCTAACAAAGACAGGGTTTGAGATTATCCTTGAGGTAAGAACTGCTGCAGGGCGTAGATGGCCAAATTTTAAGTGCAGGATCAAACTGCCGTTTGCAGTTCTTATAACTGTAAGACCAACACTTTGAAATTCACATCTCCTCAAAGTACCTCACATAACAAGAATAAAAATGCCAAGAATGAAGTTAGTCTAGGCTAATCTTTCCAAAGTGTAAAGAAGTGATAATCCTACAATTTAACATACTTCTCAGGGCTTTGTGTGTTCTCTTTCCAGTTCAGCCAAGCTCCTGGGGTCCAGTATTTAAAATATTTGAACTGTGTCTTTATCTTGTGCCGACGGAAAAAGATTTTCCAAAAGACTGGAGAAGTGACTCAATTCAAATGTATGAAACCAACTGTAACTTAAAATATAGAAGTGAGGACTATCACATACAGTAGGTAAAGCTGTTTACATTCACAATACAAAGGATCAGACACACCAGGATGGATGGCTATGACATAACAATGCATTCTGGGTTCCTTTGTGATACCTGGAGGGAAAAAATAAGCCCGACTGGCTTGCACTGTAATTACGTGTTTACTGGCTTCTTCCTGGCTAGCACCACTCTTTCCCTCCCAACTCCCAATGTGGTTAAGCTACTTATGTTAAGTCACAGGAATATTCAATCTAAGAAAAGTATCTTATTAGAGTAATATAATTTCTTAAAGAAGATAGCATATTTACACACATCTAACACATGAAAATACTCTATTTTATACTAAATTCCAGGTTCAAATGAACTACAATACAGCATTTTGCCTTGTCTGTAGTGTGAGGATTGTTCAAATTGGGGAATATGGTGTGTTGCCCCCTGCAGTGACTCACTACCTTATCAGACAAGTCCAAATCGGTCCCCATAGTTGGGGAAGGTTCAGGAGCAAGGGGTCTGGACTGAGAGCTTCTAGCCAGTTGGGTTACACATCCACTCCTTTGATGAGTGATCCTTCCAAGACTATGGTGAAGTCCTGAATGGTCTGCAGAATGCGGATGAGAGAGTTGACAGTCATGCGGTCTCGCAGGAGGGCACTCTCCTCATACATTCGGGTAATGGCAGGACATTCGGCTAAGAGTGGGATCCACTGTGGGAGCAGGCGATCCCTACAGAGTCAAAGAGAAAGAAGTCCTGAGCCCTGCCCACCTTGCTGCAGAACAACACACCTTAGAACTTTCAATGGGAAGGTGTAGGACTGGATGGAGCAAAATCCAGCCAAGTTCTCAGGTCAGCAGAGGAGAAACCAAATTCAAGATTTTGGAAATTTGCTGGTTAAAAAGATACAGTAATGATACAGTCAGTGTTAATGGGAAAACCCAAGAGACTGAAAATAAGTTTGGGCAAATTGGCCATAAGGACCTACCCACATTAAAGAGATTCTCTATTCTGATTTAACACTTAAAAAAAAAAAGAGGCAGAAAGTCATTTTGTATCTCTTTTTTACAGGGGTGTTATTCAGACATCTGTGGCAAGGCATGCCAAAGTACGCTGACCCTTTGGGAAGAAAGACTGCATTAAATAGTCAGGATTAGCATTAAAAAAAAAAAAAAAACTTATACAACGTAACAAGGAACAAAAGGAAAGAAAAACATTAAGTGGATTTTACAAACCAAAAGAGGGGTTGCATTAGTCTAATAAATCAGAACAAGAGATAAAAGGAGATAAGGATCATGTTTAAAAGGAATTTTAAAAGCATAGCTGAAACTGGGCCCTTTTATTAAGAAGAAATATAGAACTTAGTTTTATAAACCAGTTCTTTCAGGAGGACATCTCAACCTTCAGTGTGTCCTGATTAACCTCTGACATTAGTTACCTGCCACTAAATATCTAAGACATCCTTATCGAGCATCTCTCAATATGCCTTTTGTTTTTTTTAAAGTTTATTATTTTTTTTTGTAGTAATCTCTACACCCAACCTCAGGCTCAAACTCATGACCCCGAGATCAAGAGTCACATGCTCTTCTGACTGAGCTAGTAGCCAGGAGCCCCTCGATATGCCTTTCATGATAAAAGCAGTCATAACTAGGCCTGCCAATCTCCTGTTGGGGCTCTAGGTCTGTAGAAAAAAAAAAAAAAACACATTACACAGATAACTTAAAAAAAAATCTTGTTCTAAAGGCCTACATGTTTCATTTCTTATAATTCTGACAGCTGTTTAAAAATTAATGGATTGTAAAGCTCCTATGCGTCATTTTCAAAAAATAAAGGGGTAGGGAACTGTCAAAGAGAAGACTTTATATACTTAAGAATTATTTATATCATATGAATTCTACAATGTTATTAAATTTAAAACAACATGGTGAAAAAATTAAAAAAAAAAAAGAAAAAAACCAACAACATGGTGCTATAGATACACAACACAAACCCTACACAGTAAATATACGTATGTGTGTCAAATTCCTTACCAAACTACCCATTACCTATCTACCCACCTTTGGAGCCAGTGTAGTGTAATGGTTGAGAGCTTGGGCACTCAAATGAGACTGGGTATGAATCTTGGCTCTGCTTCTTTCTAGCTGTGTGACCCTGGGAAGCTTTGTTAACTCCGCTGTACCTTATACATCTGTACAGTGCTACTTCATGTATTGTGGTGGGGAAGTGATAGGAGGATTAAATGAGTACTTAGCATGGTGTCAATACACAGCAAGTACCCAATAAACATAGTTTCATAATAAAAATTGCAATGAAAGGAGCCCACGGGAGAGCTTTGGAAGGGGCATGATCTGAGGCAGCCCCTCCTGGACTTTTGTTCAAAACATAACAAAGATAGGGAAAGTCAAGAACTGGCTTTATACCGTGTTCCAAGGCAAACTAAAATCTGGAATTTGCCGTCCTTTCCAATGTTCCTGGGTGCAGTATTAATAGCATTTACATAGTGGCAGAAGGTTTTGCAGGATGATTTCTGAATAAGGACATCGTCTTCATTGTCTAGAATCTGGTCAGTGGTTTCAAAATAAGCAACCGCTTTCTCTGGGGAAGGAAGTCAGAATCATATCACAATACACATTAATACTTCATACACAGAAAGATTAATCACTTAGTTTATTCTGGAAACACTAATGGTGCTTTGCATTAGAGCCAGTCTGGAAACCAAAATCATTACTTTATCACTGATTTCACGATGAATTCTAGAGGTCCATGTTTCCTGGTGGAACGATATGCTCCGGGAGTTTATTTTCTAATCTAGACTGCATTCCAGAAGGGTGCAAAGTTTACTCTCTTTGGAATACCTTCAAGCAATGGAAACTGGCAAAAAAGAAAAACAGATGGACTCCCCGGTCAAGACTGGAACCTTCTAGGAGTAGCTAGCAAATACATGGTAGCCATCGAGATGTGCCCTCTGTTCTAGTTATACAGTGGCTGGCTGACATTTTGCAATGAAATCCTTGAAATGGAACTGACTCAAGAAATCTGAGGAAGAGATATGTATACATATATTAGAAACAGGAGTAGTAAGATTCTGGGCATTCCAAAAGAAAAAAAAAAATCACTCCTGGAGGCCTAGCTCTGTTAACCTTTTCTTTGTCTAAAAACTCTAAGTTGGATAAAACCAACCACTTCATCTAGACTATATTTACAAGACACAAAATGATTAATCACCCCTTTAAGAAAACTGGGAATTCTAGAAGAACCGCATTACAAAGCTTATTTAGCAAGCTAGAGCGGTACACTGCAACAGAACTTTCTGTGATGGATGAAATGTTCTGTATCTGCAAGGTTCCATTTGGTAGCTACTAGGTAAGGCAGGTGTGACTAACGAAGTGAAATTTTTTTTTTTTAATTTTTTTTTTCAACGTTTATTTATTTTGGGGACAGAGAGAGACAGAGCATGAACGGGGGAGGGGCAGAGAGAGAGGGAGACACAGAATCGGAAACAGGCTCCAGGCTCCGAGCCATCAGCCCAGAGCCTGACGCGGGGCTCGAACTCACGGACTGCGAGATCGTGACCTGGCTGAAGTCGGACGCTTAACCGACTGCGCCACCCAGGCGCCCCACGAAGTGAATTTTAAATCTAATTTAAATTAAATAAATTTAAATAGCCACACGTAGCTATGGTAGTGGTTATCATACTGGATAACATAAAGCTAGAGTAATCCTTTTAAAACAAAACAGAAGTTATTTTATGTCATTTATTCCTTAGCTCAAAGCCTTCCGATGACTTCCTATTTCAATCATGATAAAGACCCAAGTCCTTGCAAAGGTCTAGAAGGCCCTGAAGCTCCTGGCTCTGGCAGTACACAGCCCTCTCCCCCAGTATCCTCTTACTCTGTCTCCCTCACTCTGCCCCACTCGCACTACACTTGCTACTCCATGCAATGGCCAAGCACACTCCAAGCTTGGGGCCTCTGCCCTGATAGTTCTCTCAGCCTGGAGTGCTCTCTCCCAGATATTCATATGGCTCAATTCCTCACTTCCTTAAAGTCTTTGCTCAAATATCACCTGGTCCACAAAGCGTATAATCACCCCACTTAAAAAAGCACTCTTCACTCCATTTCCTTTCACTTTACTATTTTTTTTCCCAGATCAACCATCACTTTCTAACATACCAGCTGAACTGCATACTTGTTATGTTTTTGTGTTTTATCTGTGTTCCTGTCCCCACCAGAATGTAAGTTTGCCAACCAAAGGAATTTTTGTTTTGTTTCCTTATATCTCAACGTGTATCTTTTTTTTTCAAAGTAGGCTCCACACTCAATCTAGGCCTGAACTCATAACTCCGAGATCAGGAGCTGCATACTCTACCGCCTCAATGTGTATCTTGAGCATCTCGAACAGTGAGTGTCTGGAATATTACGGACACTACAATATTTGTTGACTGAATGAAAAGCAAAGAGAGTGCTAATTTGATATATTTTTTTAAAAACATACTCCCTTGTCACTAACCCTTATTTGCTTAAATTCCTGGGTCTTCGAGTTTTCTAAGAAACATTTCAGTGCCTTTATAGTAACATACACCTGTTTTAATTTACCTATGAAGTCCCAGATGAAGACATTCTTGTGAAAGATGCGGGCAGATTTGAAGCCATGGTGGAAGACTTGTTCAAGTGCCACAACCAGGCCATTTTCTCCACACAGCAACACCGTGAGGCTTCCTCTCTGTGGAACAAAACACACAGTGCCAAAGAATAATCTGCTGCACCTATGTTTAAGAAATATACTAGAGAAGGAGCATGTGAGTGGCTCAATTGGATGTCCGACTTCGGCTCAGGTCATGATCTCTCGGCTCATGAGTTCGAGCTCCACATCAGGCTCTCTGCTGTCAGTGTGGAGCCTGCTTCGGATCTTCTGTCCCTCCCCGCCCTCTCACTCATTCATTCATTCATAAACAAGCAAATAAAGAAAAAAAGAAAAACACTAGAGAAAAGGGTGTTGAAGGTAGCTATGAAGTATGTTCTTGTAGCTACTAGAAAGCTTACAAATAAAAACATACCCTCTACTGTATGTATCATGTATAAAAGTGTCTTTAAAATCATATATATATATATAATTTTTTTTTAAGTAGAAGTAGACTTCATGCCCACTGTGGAGCCCAATGCAATGCTTAAACTCATGACCCAGAGATCAAACAGGAGTTGAGATCAGGAGTCAAATGCAACACTTCAATGACTGAGCCACCCAGGTGCCCCTAAAATCCTATACATTAAGTTTGACAGATGATCATACCTCTTTTTCAGGTTTATGAAAATGCTTCACAATATTGTTTACAGCTTCCCCAATTCCTTCTTGGATCTGTCCAGCATTGGGTTCTGAAAAAATAATGAACACCGGCTGAATTCTCATGCAAGGGAAATACACCAAAGTACTATGGGATAGCAACTGTGTCCACCCATGCAGGAAATGCTTCACCACAGAGGATGGCTTGTCAGGCGCTCCATGAAACTTGTCTCAGGTCAGTCTGGCCAAGGGGAGGCATCTTGGCACAAAGGAATTGTGATTCCTAGATTCCAATTCCAACCTTACCATTGCAATCTATAACCTTGGTTAAATGTCTAACTTCTGAGTTTGAATTTCGTCAATTTAAAATAGGGAAAACATATACCTCATGGGTCACTGGGAAAAGTGAATGAGATATTGCAGGTGTAAATAACCTGGCATGGTACTTGTCACAAAGTGCTAGCAAGCTCCTGGATCTGAGGAGTGAGGTGGAAAGACCCATGGCATCATTCCAGGTACTCCCTTATCCTACTTAACTCTTGAGTTCCTTAGTGGGCACAGACCAAGGTTTGTGAAGCTCTGAATGGCTAACCTGAAATCTGTGTTTTTGCTACTGTGTTTAAAGTAAAAGGAAGATGCCAGGTACACTGAGGCACCCAAAGCCCAGAACAGCTTCCCTTTCTGGCTATTTAGTCTACCTGGGTACTGCTTCATTCTCCCGGCCTGCACTTGCTCAGGTCTTGTTTTTAAGGGAGACCTTGGTGGGCTGCCTGAATGGGATCTAAACTGCCTTTGCCTCCCAAAACCCAAGAATGGTTAAAAAGAGATGTTAAACACATTTTATCTAGGGATAGAAGTAGGTAACGAAAAGTTTAAGTATTTGGTACTTTCTTGTGGTGATTAACTCTTACGTTTACATATCACACCATAAAGGACAAACTACACATTCTATTGTTTAAGAATCTTTGAATTCAGGGTTCCTGGGTGGCTCAGTCAGTTAAGCAGCTGACTTCAGCTCAGGTCATGATCTCTTGGTTCATGAGTTTGGGCCCCACATCGGGCTCTGTGCTGACAGAGTAGAGCCTGGAGCCTGCTTTGGATTATGTGTCTCTCTCTCTCTCTCTCTCTCTTTCTGTCCCTCCACCGCTTGCACTCTCTTTCTCTCTCAAAATAAATAAGTAAACCTTACAAAAAAAAAAAAGGAATCTTGAATTCATACTGCTGGAGGATTTCTTGCATAAAACATTCTTCAGGTAAAACTCAAGTAAGTTTTTTTCTTTTCTTTTTTAAGTTTATTTATTTATTTTTGAGAGAGAGAGAGAGAGTGGAAAGGGGCAGAGAGAAAGGGAGACAGAGGATCTAAAGTCTGCACTGACAGCAAGAAGCCTGATGCAAGGCTCAAACTCACAAACAGCAAGATCACAACCTGAGCCAAAGTTGGACGCTTAACTGACTGAGCCACCCAGGTGCCCCCTCAGGTAAGTTTTTTCTATACCAATGCATAGAAATTGTTAAAAGGAAGGACTGATACTGTGGCTTCTTCAGTTGCTACTAATTTTTTTCCTTTCTCTGAATATTTTCTCTTTTTAAGAAAAAAATTTTGTTTTTATTTTTAAGTAACTTCTATGCCCAACATGGGGCTTGAACTCACAACCCGGAGATCAAGAGTCACATGCTTGGGGTGGCTAGGTGGCTCAGTAAGTTAAGCATTGGACTTCGGTTCAGGTCATGATCTCACTGTTCATGGGTTTGAGTCCCACATCGGGCTCTGTGCTGACAACTCAGAGCCCAGAGTCTGCTTCAGATTCTGTGTCTCCCTCTTTCTCTGGCCCTCTCCCGCTCACACTCTCTCTGTCAAAAATAAATAAAACATTAAAAAAAAAAGTCACGTACTTTACTAAGCCAGCAAGGCACTCTGAGTATTTTCTCTTTTAAACATAAAAATCTAGGGGTGCCCTGGGTGGCTCAGTTAAGTGTCTGACTCGACTTCAGCTCACGTCATGATCTCACATCTGTGAGTTCAAGCCCCGCACTGGACTCTGTGCTGATGGTGCAGAGCCTGCTTGGGATTCTCTTTCCCTCTCTCTGCCCCTCCTCCACCTACTCTCTCTTTCTCAAAATAAATAAAAATAGGGGCGTCTGGGTGGCGCAGTCGGTTAAGCGTCCGACTTCAGCCAGGTCACGATCTTGCGGTCCGTGAGTTCGAGCCCCGTGTCAGGCTCTGGGCTGATGGCTCAGAGCCTGGAGCCTGTTTCCGATTCTGTGTCTCCCTCTCTCTCTGCCCCTCCCCCGTTCATGCTCTGTCTCTCCCTGTCCCAAAAATAAATAAACGTTGAAAAAAAAAATTTAAAATAAATAAAAATAAACTTAAAAAAAAAAAGATCTATTCTGAAAAGTTTTTAAAAAATAAATGAATTACATATATACTTTTTATTATTTTTACATATTTATTACTTATTTTATTTTTATTTATTATTTATTTATTTTGAGAAAGAGAATGAGCAGGGGAGGGGCAGAGAGAGAAGGAGGGAGAGAGAATCCCAAGTAGGCTTGGATTCTGCACTATCAGTGCAGAGCCCAGTGCAGGGCTTAAACTCATTAACAGTGATCTCTGAAATGAATGGGGACTTTAGCTGAAATCCAGAGTCAGATGCTTAACTGACCGATCCACCCAGGTGCCCCTATTTTGAAAACTTTCATTCATTATAAAATAGCCCTGTACTAATCAATAGTATTTTACTTTTAAAGACTTTATTTTATTTTATTATTTTTAAGTTTATTTATTTGAGAGAGAGAGAGAAAGAGAGAGAGCTCACAAGCAAGGGAGGGGCTGAGAGGGAGGGAGAAAGGGAATCCCAAGCATGTTCCACACTGTCAGTGCAGAGCCCGATGCAGGGCTTGAACCCACCAACCATGAGATCATGACCTGAACTGAAGTTGGGACACTTGATCAACTGAGCCACCCAGGTGCCCCATTTTATTTTATTTTAATTTTTTAAATGTTTATTTATTTCTTTTTGAGAGGGAGGGATAGAGAATCCCAAGCAGGCTCTGTACTATCAGCACAGAGCCTAACTCGGGGCTCAATCTCACGAACCATGAGATCATGATCTCAGCTGAAATCAAGAGAGGGATGCTTAACCAACTGAGCCACGCTGGGGCCCATAAAGATTTTATTTTTTAGTAATCTCTACACCCAACATGGGGCTGGAACTTACAACTCCAAGATCCAGAACTGCATGATACAATGACTGAACCAGCCAGGTGCCCCTATTCAGTAATATTTTAAAATTGATTTAAAACTTTTAGTTCTCTAAATATCACCTTGCACACACGGTGAGAAAATGCCAGTTTCCCATCTCTGAATTTCAGGTTATTTAAAATTTTCTACTTAATGAGTAAGGAAAAGAAAATATGACCAAAAGTAGAGGATAAGACCTCTCAAAACAGTAATACCCCATAAAACTGGGACTGTTTTAGACATGGTAATAATTAGGATAGGCTGAACTGAAATCTTTTAAGATCAGTCTTTTAAGTCAATTTAAGATTACATACAATAAATTTGCCAATTTTAAGTGTGCAATTTGATGAGCTTTGACAGATGTATAGTCATGCAACCACCACAATCATAATGTAGAAAAGTTCCATCAACCCAAAAGGTTCCCCTGTGTCCTTTTCCATCAATCCCCTTCCCCAGCTCTTATCTCCTAGCAACTGCTGTTCTGCTTTCTATCATTATTATACTGCCTTTTCTAGAACTTAATATAAATGGAACCGTATAGGATCTAGCCTTTTGTGTCTGTTCTCTTTCACTTACTTAGTATAATGCTTCTGAGTTTTACCCATGTTGTTAGATGTATCAACAGTTTGCTCGTTTTTATATATTGCCAACTAGTACCCCACTGAATACATGTAGCACATTCTGCTTATCCACTCCCCAGGTGGTGGATTTTGGTGTTGTTTCCATCTTGGCTATTATGAATAAAGCTCCCAGGGACATCTGAATACAAGTCTTAGTGTAGATACATGTATTCATTTCTCTCCAGTAAATATTCAGGAGTGGGATTCTGTGTCAAGTGTATGCTAAGTGTATGTATGTCTTTATAAGAAACTGCCAAACTGTTTTTCTTTTGCATTCTCACTAGCAATGTCCAAGCATTCCACTGCTCTCCATCCTCACCAATATTTGGTATTATCAGTCTTTGAAATTTT